TACTTATATAATAAAAAAAATAAAAATAAAATAAAAAAACATATGAGTGAAAGCCTTCTTTTAAATCTAGTGGGCCTTAACAATGATCGTAGTCTTAAACTTAGGCTTTTTCCCTTGAATATTAAATGATTTTAAGTTTGTTGGTACTAGTTAATTTTAGTTATGCTCTTTTGGGCATGTTATATCCCTTAATTCTAGGAGCTAAGATCATGATATGGACTATCTTTCAGTCCATTAATATCTTATTATTTTCCAGGTTTTAGATTTAGGACCCTGAACTTGGAGAAGCTTTATCACTATCTTCTTATTTCTTAATTCATCTCCTTTTAAATCATATGTTCTAAGACCTTTGCGAAGACATGACAAACTTTTATATGGGTTGTGTTCATTGATACACCTTAAAATTTACCTATTTTTTATGCACATTTTATACTCATTTTTTGAGGATATTATACTTTCATGAAGGGTATTTTTATGTTTTTGATTGCATGTGTAAAAAAAAAAGTTAAAGAGTAAAAATGAGCAAAAATACATAAAAAATGAGCAAAATGAACTAATTTGAAGAAAAATACCAAACCAGCCGAACTGGCACCTAGGCGCGATAGTTGGGTGCCTAGGCGTCGTGATTAACTTCTAGAAGATTTATTGAATGAGACCGATTTGAAAAGATGTCTAAAGAAACCATTGGTCATTTTCTAAACTCTATAAATATGGATTAATTCGAAATGGTCGGATATATAGGGTCTCATAGTGTGTGTGTGTGTTAAGTGTGAAAAGTTTTCTTTATGGGTCTTTGTTATTTCTGGAGTTTGTGAGTCTCGTAAGTGTTGTTAGAGTCAGAGAAGTCAAAGAACTTCAAAAGAGTGTTTGGGGGAACATTTCAGATAAGTATTTATATTTTTGTCTTTAAGTTTTGTACTTTAGATTGAAGTTTTATAAATATATTTTGTTTTGTTCTCCCCATGCTTCGTGAGCATTCTTTCTTTCTTTCTCCTTGCAACATGAAATAATTAAGTAAGCGATTTTGATTTTGTTTAGAACTTTTATACCTAAAAAAAATTATGATGATATTTTTACCGGTCTTTCATTTTTTTTATACCTAAAAAAAATTATGATAATATTTTTACCGGTCTTTCATTTACTTTGCAAATTGGTCACTTGTATTGTTAAAACCTGTCGAAAAAATTATAGACACGAAAGTGCTAAGATTTTTTAACTTATAAGTATCACATTCTACCTTGGAAAGAACAGTCGCGATCGTCTAAAAGGGGGTGCAAGTAGATATGGAGATAAGATTTGATGAGCGTAGAATTGTTGTTTTTAGAGTGACAGACAAGATTCTTTTTATCAATTTGGTCTATAAATTGGAACTAAAGGTCATTGATAAGTACTATAGAGATGACAAAGTGAGTAATCTAGAAGTGAGAGACTAGACCTACCCAGCACTACTATGCATGCCGACACCAACTTTAGATTTGACAATGTTCTTTGCACAATTTGAGAGAAAGTAAAGAAATAGGTATGCTCCTATTTGTCACAATATCACATTTAAGTTTCTAAATAAATTTTGAAATCCTATACTCATTATGAATTATTGGCAAGGAGAAAGTTTCTTTTTATATATTGTCTAAGTCATTACATTTACTTTTATTTGCATATAGTAGAATTCAGTAAACTTAATTTTCAACTTTAGATAGTTGTTGTAATCTTAAATAAAATTTTCTTAAAGTCAAAATTCTTGTTTTTCATTTTATTGTTTACTTGTTTCCGTCTTCCTCATGAGATCGATACTGGGGTTTTTAAAGAAAACTCTATATTACTTAAAAAGACATGTATACTTGTATAGTACCTCTAGTGAAAAAATAGTACCTCTAGTGAAAAAATAGTACCTCTAGTGAAAAAATAGTACCTCTAGTGAAAAAATTACTTTTTTTTTTATTTTCATCATATTACATTTATTCTAGCTAGCCGTAATTATAATTTAAGCCAAATTTTTTGACATATTAACATAAATATCTGTGTAATTGTGGGTCGGGTTATTCACTTTTGGATTCTTATAACACTTAATGATGAAACCTTAACTCATTACAATGTGTTAATAAATTGAACAAGTCATTATTGATTTAACTTGAAACCATCTAATTAATGAACATGAACCCTGTTTAATAAAGCAATGATAACATGGACATCACATTGCTTCCTACTTTTCTGTTGGCTTGTTAAGTAATGTATTGATAGGCTACTAAAGCTATATTGCTTGTGATTATATACTCTAGGATAGAGATATTTGTTGTAGCTGTTTTTTTTTTTTTTCTTAATGCTCTTAAAAGCACTACATTAATGGTTCCAGTACCGTATTGTGTTAGGCTAAAAATAAATGTCTTGAAAGTTTTTATGTATGGCGTCTAATGTCTATGCACGTTTGCTTTCATTATATACTTTTAGTCTATAAAAACTTTATACAATATGAGATTATTTAGAAAGTAAGAGGTCATATATTGAAGCTGAATAGAAACCAGTAGAATATCCCACATGTCATATTTATATGAATGTTTAGCAAAGGTTTTTTGAGGTGTTCATGATGTAAATCGTGATAAAACTTTCAACCTCCTCATAAAAAGCCTCGCATGCTCTTATAAGATGACTGACAATGTTGAGGTGAGAGTTGGATGAATGCCTTCTCTCGACTTGATGGTTCTTGGTCTTTCGAGTCTTGATCTAAGGGGTCTACACTAGGTCAACTGTCCTTTGATCATTTGGTGATGGGACTTTTGGTCTTTTTTATGTGAGCCTTCTTGATCATACTTTCATATCTTTTAGTCTATTGGATCTCCTCTGAGATTTATGTTGACGCATATATATAATTTTTCTATTCTCAAATTTCTTGAAAGTTACAAACACAATAAAAATAAGAGAATGAAATGCAAAAATTATATTCATTTATTTAAAATCAATACTTTAATAATTACACTTTCTGGATTTCATGCCCATGACCTATATAAATAGGGCGTGATTAGCTTTTTTGTTATCCACATTTGTTTTTGAATCTGTGACTCTCAATCGGTCTACTCAAGAGTGATTTCAAGGTGAGTGGTAAGAAATCTACAAAGGATATACCCACTAAGGAGATTATGATAAAGGCCTACAAACTATTCGCATATCGGTTGTGCCCTAAGGAGTTCGAGTGAAAGAAAAGGCCAAGAAGAGGGCTGTGCCCTAAGAAGGAGTTCGAGTGAAAGAAAAGGCCAAGAAGAGGGAGTCGGCTCCAAGGTGAGAAGAGGTCCATAGGTATGAAGAGGCTAGAAGGAGAAAGTCAATCCGAGGGCTAGAAGATGCTCGGGGGAAACGAAGAGGCCAGAATGCGGGGCCAGTCTGAGGGTAAAAGTCAGGTTAAGGAACTCACTCACAAAAAGAAATAGGTGGAAGATTTGGGAGATGAGGTGAACCAACCACTAGTGCATCGACCCGATCTTCTGTTGCAATCTGTGATTATCCAGTCGAAGAACCTGCTCAAGGATTCGTTGGAGCCCCACTATCAGAGGACCGAGAGGCTACAATTTTGTTACCGGCTATAG